AGTAAACTGTCCAAGACAGCAGGTGGCTATCAGCTTGTCACTCTTTGTATCGGTCTCTCTGGGGAATATTGTTCAAGTCATCTTGATTTTGTTTCAGAGTTTTGGTCACTGCACCTTTTTTAATTACTGGATTGTTAGTTTATTTATTTGATGCTTATATTTTTTTCTGTTTCCCTGAATGACTTCTGTGTGTGGTGTGTCAGTCTCCACAGTAACCACTCGCTGTTCCCGTGGCTTCGGTAAGTGTGTGGCATTTGGCATCACTGACTGACTTTGTATTAACACAATTAGATATTACAGAATTTTACCTTTATCATTAAAACAAATCACAGAATTAAAATAGTATTAATTGTATTGGAGTGCACTGACCGACACATGCTGCAGAAGACGGAGTTGAATGTTAAAGATCAATGTGAGATGTGATTTTTTTTCAGTGTGGCATAAATGTTTAGATGAGAGATTAATTTCACTAGTTATAATTTATATGGTTATATCTACCCAAATATACAATTCTTTTAACATCATGCCCATTTTAACATCTGCTTTTACACTGGGTAAAGAGTGATCTAACTTTGATTGGCTTTCTGACTATTAACACCAATTACAGCTCATTGACATTAATGAGTTAAACTGCATCTGGCTCTCCAGCTTTCAGCTTTCTGTTGCATAAAGATTAGCACTTTAATAATAAGCTCATGTAATGTGAAGTTTAATTAATGAAAGTTATTTTAATGTAATGAAAAGGAGGCATTAAAATCTGAGGCCTGTTTCACACACACACACTCACACACACTGCCTCTGCGTGAGCAGTTTGGAACATCTTGCTTTTCATTTCATTGGCCATGTTAACAGGCTAGAGTGTTCACACAACCTGCAGAAAAAGCATGGCCTTGAGGTTCAGATGCATCATTGCATCTAGAAAGTGAGGAAGACTCAGTGTCTTCTAGTAGTTATTGTCCTATTTATTTCATGCAGGTTAAAGCTACACCAGTTCATTAGTCATTTTTGTTAAATATTATTATTTTTTGTTAAATAGCATAATTATGCTTGTTGTATTGAAACATGGCAAGAACTCTTACATCATTTGTTATTTTTTAATTTGAAAGAAAAAAATTAAAGTCTGCTATAGGACAATCAGGATTGTCCCTGTGGTGTCTAGGCAGATACAGCCAAGCTAGCTCTCCCACTGGTTAGGACTTCAGAAGCTGGACAGAAAGCTGTACTTTAGATCAACATAATTAGGAAATGACACTGAATCAACCAATCACGTTTTGATTTATAATGGGAGGGATCAATTTGGAGGAAAAAAACTTATCTCTAGACCTTCTGGAAGTTCTAGATATGTCACTGATTGTAAATATAAGCAGTGGTCTAACTGTTTCAGTAAAAAACAGGTCTACGTTAAGGCTGTTCACTGAATGAGTCACTATACAACTGATGAAAACTGTAAAAGTATATGTTAATGTCTCTTATAAGCCTGAAATAAAATCTATAGAATGTCTTTTACAAGTTTCAGATGTCAGTGTTTAGTCTAGAACAACCAATATGTTAAAGGGTATCAGTGTTAGCTGTTAACACACAATGTGTTTTTTCTCACTTTACGGCAAAGTTTTGACATTTATGGCCTCAACTGAAGGCTTAGGTCTTAGTCTCATTTCACCACTGCATTCAGAGAATAGGCATCAAGCCTATAATAAACTCTGAACACAAACCAAAAACACCAGTTCTACAAATCATGTTCAGTATTAAATTAAATACCTGTACATTTTGTGCTACATTTTCCAGTAGATCTACAGGCTTGAACCCATCACAAAGCAGAAAACTGCTAAGGGTAAGCAAAGGGCGTTATCAATCCCTTTTGCTGTATCAACTCGGCAACATTGTAAATGAGGGTCACCCTCAATGTTCTTTGAGGTTAAATAAAGGTTGATTGATTGATTGTATGCCTACAGATCAGATAGCCTACCTGTTTCCTGGTTGTATGATTCAAGTTTCGTGACCCCACCCCTGCTTTTAATCCCTTGTGAAAAGACACAAAGTAACCCAGGGATAGGTGATGTGGTGATGTTGTGGACTTGCTGGCTTCTGGTCAAGTTTAAAAACAGCAGTGGTTAGAAGATGGCAGAAGTGGTTACTAGATAGCAGCAGCTGACCCCCTCTGTTGGCCAAAACAAGCAAGTGTGTGACTTCTGCACATCGGCTCTGCTGCCAGGTCTTAGTTAGGACTTTCCGGTGTGTTTTAAATTCACAGTTTAAAACAGGGACGTCTGGTCACTCTAATTTGTGTGTACATGTCTAATTTGCTTTGCTAGTTATCTTAGGTTTTGCTTAGTTATCTTAACAGTACTTGTGCTGGCATGAAATAATATAGTTGTAGAATATATATAGTTGTGTGTAGAATCACACAAAGCTTATATTTATATCTGTTGAGTGAAATATTCTATTTGTTTTGGAATATTTCTGTTGCAAATACACTTGTTCTGTGGAAGCCAGCATAAATGCTCATAACAGTAGCATTATCTAGACTGTATCATCTTTTCAAGTAGCAGTCGACATAAGGGCATTCTGGTCTTGAAGTAATGCCTGGTTACTTTTTCTGAAACTGGAAGAGTAAAGAATGCACTGAATTGTCATTGGCTTAAACTGCCTGTTACCAATGATAGAGTACCAGTCTTGAACAGGTACCAAAAACCATAAAACTGGAACCTTCAGTCATAGACTGATGGCCAGTAGAAAAAGCGCTGCTGTAGTTTTCTAGTACCAAAGGTCCAAAGTCATTGTGTTCTTTTATGAATAAATAAGATTTGATCTTATTTGACTAACTGATTTAACCCATTGTGAAAAAATTATGTTCGTAGGATTTGCTCAGATATAATTGCCCTATAAATGCTGTCTGTCTTTAAGCTGCAGCGATCACATCGACACACACAGGTAGCATGTGTGTGAAACAGGCCTCTGACTGTACGCAAGCTGGAAATTACTACTTCCTCTATTTCATCTTTAAGAATATGAAAGCTAGTAGCTATTTTAAATGATAAGTGTTTTAAAAGACATGATTTTCCATTGAGCTCCACAGCTCATGTTTTGCAGGAAGCTGATTTGTAAGTTGTTCTGTGGAACCCATTTTCATTACTTTGTTATATATTATATTCTAATTGTTTATTTTTTTTAGAATTTGAGATTGTGTGTTGGTATGTGGCAGATAATATTGCCTGGCAGTTTTTTTCCCCCATGTGTCTTTTGTTTCTTTAATTCTTTTTTTGGGTATGGAATTGCTCTCCTCTTTCTCCTTCCCCATGCTATGGTTCTCTCTCCCACATGAAGTCAGAGCTGTTGGAGAATGGACACTCAATCCGATTTCTTTATGAATGATGCATCTTGGTAGTAGTTTAATTTGATTTCTTTTTTCCCTTTTTTGGTGTTGCTTAAGTAGATGAAATGTACCTCTCTTGTATCTCCCTTATTCTTTGTTATGATCTGTTTTCCTGTTTTGATTGTGGACTGGCTCTCTTTCCTACATCACCTGCATCCCTCCATCCCTCCACCTGTTTGTTTTGAATGAGTGTGCTGCAGTTCTTTTTAATTGGTCTCAGTGCTGCATCTGAATGCTTGCTGATTGGCTAATATATACATATGTATATTTTGTTCAGTTTTGTTTCATTAGTCCCTTTACTCTCACTGATCGTGATGCACCCATGTTTGGCTGTGAGTAATTTCTGTTTTCAGATTATTCATTTTTTTGGGAAATGTTGGCACCCCTTCTTCGCTGCCTTGGTCAGTTGGAACAAATGTCCACTAATGACCCTGGCAGCATACGTCAGTAACGTTAATCAACAGGGCAGCCTAAATCAGTCTGTAACATTACAACACACACACTGACATAAAAACCATATTTTCTTACTCGCTTTCTCATTTCTAACACTGCCTGTCAAAAGTATGAGGACACCTCATTATTTTTATTCTATATTTTTAATAAAAGCAAGCATTTTTTGGCCTGTTTGCAATAATTTACCACTTGAGCCATAGGATCTTCATCATTAAATCTGAAATATAAATATGACTTTAAAGGTATAATAGAAATTAAAAAACTTATCAGGAGTTAAAGACTAATTCTATCACATGTAAATATTTGTGACAATAACGTAAAAAAATTAAATAAATAAATATACTATATATTCATCATAAAATAGGGCCTTACCAATATACCAATGGGCTGATCAACCCATTTTAAGGTTACACCAATTTCTCAATATCTGTGAAAATCCCAGGTGTTGCTTTGAAGTTGCTTATTTTATATACTAATGAATATACACAGTCTGAGAATTTTAATGGTTTGAACACAAAACAGCATCATTAATTAAAATAACAAACATGTAAAATGCTTCCAGCCAAGGTTTTAACATGGGAACAGTTATTATAAATACAAAAAAAGAAGTAATTAACAAAAACCAATAAAACTGACATGACTTTTTTTGTGTTAATATATAAAGCTCTTCAAACTCTTCAAACTATCAGTAACACAATTTTCATATCAGTTGAGCCCTGCTGAGCAGCTCTAAGTACTGCACATACTTTTTTTATGCAAACCATCAGGAATGTCTGGTAAAGAACTGACTGTTTGCAAGAATAAAGTGTGTGCAACACTTGGAGCTCCTAATAGATGAATTGCAGAGTTTCACAGTTTTGATGTAATGATATTCTTTTCCTCCAAATAAAGCTGGTTAGGCTTTAATATCTTACTTCAAATTGACAAGGTGCCCACAAACATTTTTCATGCAGGTTTGTGTCTGGTAGTTGAGACAGTGAAATTGTTTTTTGTCCCTCTAAAACACACACACACACACACACACACACACACACACACACACACACACACACACATACACTGTACTGCAGTCATAGTTCTGAGTGTGTCTGTGCTTCAGAGAAGTGTATTCGCAGATATTGTGTTAGATTTGTTGCAGTGTTGATGGTGTGTGCGAATGTGTATTTCTGTTCAGGTAAATAATGCCACAGCCAGAGTGATGACTAACAAGAAGATGGTCACACCTTACTCCAACGGAGACACTCTCAGCACACTGCCCTATGGTAAACACACACATATATACGGCACTTTTACTGGTCTTCTGGGGCCAGATGTGATTTCGTGATGTAAATGTCAACTATTAGAAATTATGGGCTACATAAGGGTGGGTAAACCAGTGGTCTCAATCCCCATTCATTTTTAATCATTGGCTCACCCAAAATGACTGGTGAAGTTTACTTTCAGTGTTAAAATATGAACTAGGAGAAGTAAATGAGATTAAGAGGAGACCTTATTTATAATATTACTTTCCTCTAGCACCAAAAGTTAAATAAGTTGTCCCCAGACATGTATTCTTGTTATGATGTCACATCTGGCCCTGCAAGACCATTTGATCACCAGTAGAGACTCTCTGATTGCAGTGTGAAACATGCAGTGGTAATGAAAAGTGCACTGTGTGTGTTCAGCAGGGTGGAAGCTGAGTCCAGTAGTGGGGGCTGTCTACGGACCAGATCTGTACACAGGTGCACAACCCATTTACCTGTGTTATTAGATGTTCATGTTCATATTTTCATCTTCCCTAACAGTAGCTGCGTGTGTGTTTTTCCTGATTAGCTCCAAGTTTCCCCTCCACATGAGTGAACTTTGGTTCTCTGTTCTGTATTGATGTGATTTGCTGATTAGTTGCTGTAGTTGTAGGGATTCAGTGATCCACAGTTTTGTTTGTGTTCTGGTCACTTTAGTGCCAAGTTTCCCGTACTCCACTGCAGCAGCGATTCGTGGAGCCCAGTTAAGGGGGCGGAGCCGAGCCATATACAGCACCATCAGACCTGTTACACAACCTATTACAGCTTATCCAGGGTAACATACACAAATTGGTGCAAATTCACCTTTAGAAATTCTTCACATGATGGCTGTACATAAGCTTGTAAAACTGATGATAATGATAATATTTTTCATTAAATCTCCCACAGCAGTTATATTGCTTTATGTTTATAAGCTAAAACAGAAGGCGACTGTGTGAGTGAAAAATGCGCTGTGTGCACTGTGTGCCTACTGAACTGTGCCACAAAGCATCCACATGTGTAATTCCTGTTAAAGGAAAACTGAATTTCCCTGGATTTTTTCAAAAAAAGACATTGAAGTAATACGTACACATAAAAAAGTTTCAAAACATACCATTTACTTCCCAGTCTGTACAGTCCATGTGTAAAACTGAGCTGCAAAAACAGCTCCTCCCATTTATGTCAAAATTATAAGGGTTTTGAAAGAGGCACAATACAGAACAGCCAATCATAACAGGTCAGAATAGAACTGTTATCTTGTGTCTTAAAGGCACAGTGACAAAAACTGCCTGTTTAATTCTAAGAGATAAAGAGAGGTTGGAAAATGGTCAAATAAAAATAAATCATGACCATTTTTGATACATAAAACCACAAAACCACACAATCCTTACAGAGTAAATATTTTTGCTTTTATTTATAATTCTTTATATTGTTAATTTTGTGAAGGATAAATTTTATGTTTTTGGCTTTTTTTATCTTTAGTATTATATATATTGTCTATATAGTAACAAGTAACAAACTGAACCTTGCAACTGGGCATGCTTTTGGGGGGGGGCTGTAAAACATGTGATTTGTGGTGGTTGTGAGCCTCATATATTCCTTTGACTTGGATTGAATGTATCCTGTTTAGTTCCTGATGAAAACAAAGTAGAAACAAATTGGAACTATAATGTGCCACTGAAAAACGAGAACTCATAGACTCAAGATTTAAAAATATTTTAACACTGTTTTAAATTCTTAAATAAAATAGTTTTCAATATTTCAGATTGAGATATAGTGAAACATCGACATAATAAGCAACATATTTGTATAATTACAAAAACAGTAAAATAAACTGCTTTAAAAGTTATTTTGGTAGATCAACCAGAAGTACCGTGTGGCTCTTAACTAGGCCTGGGCAATATCAAATAAAGGTTCTTTAAAGAACCATGTACTACAGGTTCTTCATCACAAGATGAACATTTAATTATGTAAGCCATTTATGAATTAATGTTTTTTTTTTTAAGTTGTCATGGTTCTATATGTAACCATTGTCTTTACTAAAGAACTCTTCAAGACCGTAGTAATCTCTGGTTAAACTGCTCCTTGATTGACTAAAATGCAGTGCTGCTATTTTCAAATGTCCATAACAACATTGTGGGTGCTGAATATTGAGTTATAATTCATTATTGAAAATCGGCTTAAGTCTACCAGCACCCACGTCTATCTCTGTGGGACAGTAATGTGTATATCAGTCGTACTGTATGAGGGGCAAAGCTAAAGGTCATTAGCTAATATTCTCTCTCTCTCACACTCACACAGTGTCGTGTATCAGGATGGCTTCTATGGAGCTGCAGATTTATATGTGAGTCTTTATTTACAAAAATGTACAGCTTTTCACTGCGTCTTACAGAAGTGTTTTGTTGTGTACATGTACAAACCCAAGTGCAAAAAAGTTGGGACATGTGAAATACTAATGAAAACAGAAAGCAATGATTAGTAAATTCTGTTTAATCTGTATTAAACTGATAATGGTACAAAAACACACCGTTTTGTGTTTTATGTAATGAACTTCATTGTTTTTTGTAAATATATGCTCATTCCAAATTTGATGCCTGCATGTTTCAAACTTTCACAACTGACTAGGTATACCTGGTTGTGCCCTTGGGCAAGGCACTTACAACTTACACCCAACTTACTCGCCAGACCATAATACACGCTTCCACTGCCTAACAGTTCATTTCAGAAGAGCTTGAGATGGGAGAAGTCAGCAGCTATTTTGAACATTGTTGATGTATGGCTTCGGCTGTGCGTACTACAGTGACGAACCGGATGTTTATTGACAACAGTTTGTCAGAGTATTCCCAAGCCCATATGGCGATATCCATCTCAGAAGCATGTTGGTTTTTAATGCAGTGCTATCTAAGTAATCAAAGGTCACGGGCATTCAGTTGTGTTTTTTTGCCTTTTTGCTTGCTCACAGAGATGGCTCTGGATTCTCTTTGAGTCTTTGATGGTATCATGTACTGTAGAGGACGGAATAATTTTTGATGTTGGATTATTAGCTAGTTTTTGGTAAAGTGGTGAACCTTGACTCGTTTTGCTCAAAAAGGACTAGGCTTTTCCTGGATGCTCCTTTTATATCCAAATAAGATTGCGTCACCAGTTTAAGATGTGTTTTTTTTTTTTAAACATTTCAGATTGTTTCAATTCTTAAATTGCCCTTGTCTTAACTTTTTTGGAAGGTGATGCCGGCATCAATTTCAGAATGAGTGTATATTAACAAAAACAATGAAACTGATAAAGTAGAACATTACATCTTGTCTTTTTACTGGTTTTGATACCGCTCAAAGTAGATTTATAAATATCTGCTTTCTGTTTTTATTTGACCCCGTGACCCAGAAAGAAAAGGGCTTAGAAAATATGTGCGTTTTTATTTGCATTTTACCTACTGTCCTAACTGTATTGGAATTGGGTTTGTGAAACTCATACTTAGGCTAGGGCTGATCTAAAGATACCGGTAAGCTAAAGAACTGCCAGAAATGATCTGTCTGTTTGTCTGTCTTTATCACTCTTGCTCTCTCTCTCTCCCCCTCTCCTTCTCAGGGGAGTTATGCTGCTTATCGCTATGCACAGCCAGCTGCGGTTACCGGGGCAACAGCAGCTGCAGCAGCAGCTGCCTACAGTGACAGGTGAGAATGAGCCAGAAGATGAAGAGGTAGTTTCTGTATGAGGCTTGTCCTCATCAGATGGTTTTATTTCTCACTTGCAAATTAATAATTTATTTTAAATATTAATAATAATTAATAATTAGTTACATCTAAAACTACTGGTATACAGCAGTCATATTCAGTATATCTAGGACTGTTTGCATTTGCATCAGAGGTGGACAACAAACCTGTTAGGCTATTTAAACCAAATCCAAGTCTGTCCAAAAAAAATAAAAACATCTTCAAAAACATCAGGTTTTGAATACTTATAATTAACACCGTCATATTTCACATTAGAGCTCATGGCCAAAGTCCACCACACACACACAGCACTGCTGCAGAGCTTGAATCTCTCTTTGAATCTCAGTGGCTAAAAGAAAAATGGTAATTCCATTGCTGTTGCTGTTGCTGTTTGTTGATGATAAATTCCAATTAGCAATGATATGCCTGTTATCAATAATTATTAATAAATCACAGAGCCGGAGCTGCCCCATCATCTGTTCTTAAGGGGGGCCCACAGTAAAGACAGACAGACAGATAGAACTTTATTGATCCCGAAGGGAAATTGCAGTGTTTCATAAGTTAAAGTATGAGAGAATTAAAATAAAAGTAGATCTATTTGCATATTTACATGGCATATGAGACAGATTTGTTTTATTCACATGATAGCAGGCACTAAGTGCTTAGTGAAAGAGTCATTACAGTAGCAGTTATGATATATTGCACAGTGTGTATTAACAGGAAAGGCAATATTGTGATGTGGTTCAGCACAGTTCAGACAGCAGGAGATCAGTACCATCTCTGCAGTGAGGAGACTTGTTGTAGAGCCTGATAGCAGTGGGTAAGAAAGATCTCACACAGCGCTCTTTAACGCAGCGCAACTGTAACAGTCTGCCACTGAATGTGCTTCTCTGTCTGTCCAGTGTAGCATGCAGGGGGTGTGAGGTGTTATCCAATATGGCTAACAGCTTGTTGAGCGTCCTCTGGGACCAAAAGTTAATAATTAATAGTAAAAAAAATAAACAAAATATTCTCAACATAATTCTAGTAGATAGTAGACATCGCCGTCAGTACAGCGATGTAAGTGACATAATAAATGGCAGTAGTTGCTGAACAGATTGTGTCCAGTATGGAATACAAAGAAACCAGTATGTAATAAAGGAAACCAGGCTATCATGACATAACACTCATGCGTACTGGCAAGAAATGGTCAAACACAGATCAGCAACGCTGAAGAGAAAAATAGGAAACACTTTAACTCATCTCTGTTTCACTCGTTCACTTTGTTCTCTTGAGTCAAACAATATCACTTCAAATTCCAGTGACTAAAAGTAAAATGGCCACGACGAGGGGGAGAGAGAGTTTATCAGTTGAGAAAATGACAGTGAATAAAATAATGAAAAAACTGAAATCAATGAGAGGCAGGGCAGAATAGTGTAGGGAGAAAAATGACAAATTATATGTCCAGAAGTAATATATTAAAATTTGTTTTGAATGGAGCTCTTTCACCAATATCTTCCTAAGTTTTTTTCTTAAATGTGTTCTTGAGAAAGGTCTTAAGAAAAGTGTACGTCAGATTCAGAAACAAGAAAACATTTATTTTGAATATTCATAAAATCTGCTTTCAATAGGACAAAACAGAGCTGATGATAAATAAGAGTATACACAAAATAAACTTAAATTGTTACAGTGTATATATAGGCCATAGTAGGTCCCTATGAAATCTAACGTCCTCAACAACAGAGAATGGTTGGCCATCTAAGGCAATGAATTTCCCATAATTTATAGTTATACTTTGCAGTTTGGCACTGTCATCTAAGGGATTTTTTACTCATCAGTATCCTCAGCTTTTTGTCATTTCAAAAGCTGCGGTTACAGATGGCATTGCTATGCTAGCAGGAACATTTCAGCTGAAATGTTTCAGTGACTGAATTTTATGTGCATCCCTAATCAATGTAACTTTTTCCTCTGCATTTGTAATTCTGTCAAAAACTGTATAAGAGAAATTTCTTTTTAAGAATGATTGGTGAACGAGGCCTGGCAAGTGGCCCCAGCTCTCAACGACAGTTCTGAAAGCAAAAGAAGGCAGAGTTAATTTGGGCTGCAGTAGTAATGTAAATGCCTTCTGTCTGTATGTGTTTTTTTAAAGTTATGGGCGAGTTTACGCTGCAGACCCGTACCACACACTCGCACCTGCTGCTGCTGCTGCTGCTGCTTATGGAGTAGGAGCCATGGTAAAAAACACATACAAACACACACACACACACACATACACACACAGAGTATCTGCTGAAAAAAATTTCAGCTTTCCACCTGTTTTATATTTCTCTCTCTCTCTCCTTCTCTCTCTGTAGGCTGGTCTTTACAGGGGAGGGTACAGCAGGTTTGCCCCATATTGATTATCAATTACTGATTGACAGCCATTCTTCCTTCTTCTTTGTCTCTGGATCTTTATCTGTGGTCCATAGCACAGCTAGCCTCACTGTTACCATGGAAACAACATCCTGAACCATTTCCAAAACTTGGTGGAGGATGCCAAGCCTGAAGGCAGGGGATAAATTCTCAATGTTTTATGGGAAAGAAAGTTCTGCTGCTTCGCGTTTTCCACTACAGCTGTGCTTTGAGGAGAAAGACTAAACCTACTTTTCATTTCACCTGTACAGAACACATACATACATTACACTACATTCAAATATACACTCTGAACAGCAGAGAAGGGTACAGTATCCTTAATGCATGCTGCAATAAAAAGTGTCAGTAAAATCCAAAAAATGAAAAGACGCAAGTAGAAAAGTAGCTAGGCAAAAACTTGAGTTAAAAGGCACCAGGTACAACTGCAATGGAACTTTTTTAGTACATCCAGCATCTATCAGCATAGGAACTAGTCTCACAGTACCAGACATGATCTCGTAAAGAGAACGTAGGGGACAGCCATGAGAAATTATGGGCTAAATGTGGTAGGAATTTAGACTTAGTTGGGTGATAAATTTCTAAACCCAGTCTAAACTGTTTTAGTTTAAGATTTCCTTCCCTAGGATAGTAAGTGCCACTGTGCGTCCTGCGGTTTGGCTGGGAGTTGTAATTGGTTGGTATGTTTAATATGATGATATGTTTAGTATGTTTAATTAGATATGGCCAAGTTAAAAAAAAACTGTCTAAATTGAGTAGAAATACAACTTCTTGTATTTTTCTGTGGCCTATTTAGTGCCCCCTGATGCCCCCAGTTTGAGAACCTATGTTCTAAACCAATCCAAAACCTTGTGAAAGTGCACCTCAAAGTAGGGGCCAATGGTGCACTTTCTGACAACAAGCCTGTCGTTAACCCATGGATGTAACGTAAAAGTACCCCAAGAAACTCCAGTTAATCATGTAGATGTATGATGCGTGTGTGGAGACCACATTACATGCAGTAAAAATAAATATTACCTCTTGCAGGTAAAAACAGTTACACCTGCATTCTGCTAGCTGGATTGCTTTGCCTATGTTAATTGATTGTACTCTAGTTGTTAAGAGCATGGACTGGAGGAATTTGGTGGCAGGATTTAGAAGGGGCATACCCCCTCCATCAAACACCAGATGTTCAATAAGTTGTCCACAGATGTGTTTGTCATTACAAGATCACTTCCGGCCCCAAAACTACATAGGAAGTAAAGTTAAGTGTTATTCCTCCCTGTTTTAGATCCTTTTGGTCTTGTGGCCTGCTATTTAACTGACGTCAAAAACAGAATAGGTAATTAGAATAGCAGGGGGCAGATTCAATTCCTGGAGATGCCACAAACATCCAGGGCCAGTAGAGATGATAATTGACCTTGCTGTCCCTCCCCCATCAATGAGCGCAGTGCTAACCAACATAGGCATCTGTTTGCTGTTATTACAAAGCATGTTGAGTTGTCCAATGATGTGTTAGCAGCAGTTTAAAAAATGTGGTTACTGGCTTAACATGTCTCAAAGGAAGCATGTGCTAGCCTTCACCCACCCATTGCACGTGCATTGTGTGATGGGTTGAGACCTAGCTAACTAGCCATGATTAAACTGGGGTAAAAACTAGGTGAATGAAAATAAAGAAACAATCACATTTTAACCAAATGTAGACAGATATCTATCTGTTGTCTTTACTCAGTTGCACGCCGTCTTCTGCAAAGTAATTGTGCCTCCTTTAAAAAAAAATAAAAACACAGGTAGTTCAGGTTAGTAAATTGCTCCAGGTTGTTCATTTGCATAGTCACCTATAAGCTTGAATATTTTATTATTACAAAATTGGAATTATCAATAACCTCGTCTCCCCATTGGAAATGCAACTTTGACCTACTTTCTGTGCTATATTTAGATTATATGCCTTTTTAACATGAACTGACATAATGAAAAACATTTTAATGCTTTCTTTCTTGTCTTTAAATGGTAAAAACTAAATCAACGTGCATGCTAATACTGCTCCCTACTGGAGAAACCCCGACATCTACACATGCTCAAAATGAGTTCCAAAGCCATGTGCTCTTAAATAATTAAAAAATGGAGGCACTGGAATTCATCTATACATGGAAAGACTATGGAGTATTATATTTTAGTAATGTTACAACACATCCAAACCATTAGGACTCTTGAGCTATATGGAAAATGCTGAGAATTTTCCTCGGAATGTATGTTGCACAGAGACACTGAGGAATTTACTCACTGCTTACTTTAACGCTGAAATAATTTGTTGTTTTAACAGTAAAAGGGAGTTAAACATTATGTCTATATGTTATTTAATATTACACTATATGGCCAAAAAATTTGGACACCCCTCTTAATCTTTGAGTTCAAGTGTTTCAGCCACAATCATTGCTAACAAGTGTATAAAATCAAGCACATAGAAATGCAGTCTTAACAGATCTTATATAAATGTTATTATTATTGTGAAATGGAGGCATTTAGGAGAAACAACAGCTCAGCCATAAAATGGTAGACCACACAAACTTGCAGAGCTGAAGCATGAAGCGTGTAAAAATTGCCTGTCCTCTCTTGCATCATCTGCTACAGAGTTCCAAACTGCCTCTGGAAGCAAAACCAGCACAAGAACTGTGCTTCGGAAGCTTCATAATATGGATTTTCATGGCAGAGCAGCTGCATGCAAGCCTAAAGTCACAATTTGCAATGTCAGGTGTAGGCTGGAGAGATGTAAAGCTTGCTGCCACTGGACTCTGAAACAGTGGAAATGAAACACGCTTTCGTGTTTGGTATGATTCGTCTGATGGACAAATCTGGGTTTGGCGGATGCCATGAGAACACTACCTACCAGAATGGAGGACAGTTTGTTTTTCAGGGTTTAGGCTCAGCCCTGAAGTTCCATTAAAGGGTAATGATGATACCAAGGGCACAAATTTCCACAGACACTACAAAATCATGTGGAAGCCTTCCCAGAAGAGTGGAGACTGCTTTAGCCACAAAGGGGGCAACTCCATTCTCCATAATGCCCATGGGTTTTGGAACGAACAGTCCAATAAGCTCATATAAGTGTGATAGTCAGGTGTCTGCATACTTTTGGCCATATAATGTATTTAACAGGCTGTGTAAAATGAAATTCGTGTCTGTCAGTTCTCTTTAACTAAAAGGCTATTTCCCTTTAAAGCACCATTATCACTTTATTTGTCAATCATCACCTATATCTGATTACATCACCCTATTGCCCAGGCCAAGTCAGATCCCCTATTTTTTGTGTCTCAAAAGTGCCACTCCTTGATAATGCATATTCATGTCAAGTCAGGCGTGCTAAAACCTACACTTCAGTGATGACCTTGTGTAACTGCCCAAAAATATATGCATATACACTACAGCAGTCTTCTGTCCATTTAACTTGTATAAACATGCACACCCGCATGGTTCTTAACCCCACTGCGTTCTTGTGAGTGTTTTTTTCCCTGATGTTGTTTTTGCATTTTTATTAACCATGTGGATCCTCGAACCCTAAAGAGCCACCCATGGTTGCTCCAGTAACGGAGCTTCCCAGGATACATTACAGACAACTGCGCAGCACAAACACATGCATGAATGCCTTTGAAATGAATGCTTGGGAGAAACCAAAAGACTGAATAACTAAAAAACAACAGAGAAGTTGAATATTATTTTTTAAAAGAGAAAAAAATGTTGAGGAAATGAAACTAATTGTGTTTATTTTTATTTTTTGCTCTTTGTTACCTCACGTAGCCTTTTTGCTCTGGATAATGTAACGTGAATAGTAATGGTGTAGTTATATAATTCTGCCTATTGTTACTGTTATTGTTATCATTGCTTTATATAGTATTATCCACTTAAGTCTTTACTTCTTAAGTCTTTACGATTTTAGGTATGAATGCTCTTTACTGTTGTTGTACCTGCACAAGCGTCTATGTACCTTTATTATTCAATTTTGTTATCTAGACTAAAGCTTCTACACGGCCCAGTTACTTCCTTGTCACCTCCCTGACAGTCTCCATCAGTGGTTCAGTCCAACAGAAAATTAGAAAGAATCGCCATAGGCTGTGTATGTCAGAAATGGAGTGAAGCCTGATGAGTGAGAGTGTTTATAGGAAGTCACCTCTAAAAGAATTTGTTTTGAGATAAACTTCCAAAGTTGCAGTATATCACAACACTGCCAAAATACCAACAGTCCACGGGTGAAATTACTGCCACTTCATGTTCATTTGGACTGCCCCAGCATTGTTTCCATTTAAGGCATGAACATCAAAATGGTAAATAACGCAATTAAAGATAAATGAAACATGTACTGTTAGGAAAAGATTACCCCACTTAACCCAGATTTAGTCAATCAGCCGAAAAATGTGTTCAAATGTTTCTTCTTTAGTTTAGCACTGGAGCTACAAGGTTAATGTTGCTAGCAAACAAAGTCAATAGTCACCCAAATTTCTTCCATGAATACATCCCTAAAACTTATTTCTACCCATTCAAACCATATTAGGGTCTTCATTAAGGTCATGCAGATATATTGATATGATGCAGTATGATTTACTGTGAACTATAAAAATAAACAAAAGTTCACTGTGTAGAACTGAGCATCTTAAAATTTCAAAGTGAAGATACAATAAACAGAAACCACCGAAATTGCATGCATGTGCCTGTCTGATGTGTGTGCATGGGAATGGGATTCAGATTTCGATGAAACACCCCTACATGGTGACGTTTTGTTCATCTTTATAGGTCCCAACAAGTCATAATGTGTCTCAAATCACATTAAAGACCTGGATGTGGTTTGAGCAAGCTAAAATAGGTTTTATAGATATATTTATGGAAAAGATTAAGATATAGAAACAAAATTTGGACACCAAACATGTATTGACTGATCAGCTACATCTGTGGTAAGTGGAAAATTGTATAGAGTTGATTTGTTGTAGACACGCAGCTTCACACCACTACTGTACATGCATTAATAACATTAGCTAGCTTGCTAATTCTATTTATCATCATGTTTGCTCAATACTAGCACCAGCTAGTGATTAATAAGTCTAGCCTAGCTAATGTTAAGATAATTTGCACAGTGTCTCTCCATGGTTGACCTGCCCATGATTACGTTACAACGATCGCTGCCCTTTAACCTTGAACCAGGAAGGACCGTGAAGAAGAGACAGGTCATCGGCATGCTTTACAGTGACTAGGTGGATGCACGGGAGGGTGTTGGCTTACACAGACCACGTCTGCACAGCCTTCAGCAGTGGACGATGGAGGCACCTCAGCAGGCAGTGTTTTGTATTTTGTATTTGGACTCAATGCCTTCCTTCCTTTATACTGCCTCAGTAGGCAGCATTTGTCCATTTCAGACTCACCCTGTCCCTGAGCATGTAAGGGAAGTGATTAAAACCATCTCTTACTGCCTTCATCAGAACCTGTGTGAAGTAGAACTGACTTGTCAGCTCAGAGCAGTTCAGTAGTTGAGTGGCTCGCCCTGCTGGACTCCAACTGTGCTCAGCAGCTTTACTGTGGACAACAACACTTTTGCCTTCAGTCCAGCCTGTCCCGATCTTTGACACTGACAACTATTTTAAGCACAAATACAGCAACATTCTTCTGTACGGGCCACACACATTTGGGGGAATATTTCATTTAACAGGATCTTTTATTTAGGCAGATAAGCCAAAGGTCCAACTGTCAGGGCTGTTTGGCGGAAGAGTAATTCATATTGGACGGTTTAGACTTTCATTACGACTGGGTCTTGCTTCCTGAAATGCCTCTTGTTTAACTCTGTGTGTATCTACGAATTTACTCAGTTATTATTGATATTATTACTATTGCCATTTGTTTATTATTGTTATTATTATTATATTATTTTATTGTACTTGTTTTGGTTCCAAAGTTTCTTAAAAAGCACATTTAGGTCACTTGTGGTGGTGTGCATGCGTTGTTTTATTTTTCATGATTGTGTTTGTTCGTTTGTTTGTTTTTACTAGTATGCGCAAGATTAATCTGTGGCGTGCTGTTGGAGAGTTTGCATGTTAACTGCAGGAGATATGCATGCTGTGTTTGAGTTCATCTGCAAATCAGGCTGATACCCAGAGTTATAATGTCTGGAGGGGACCTAAAGTAAGCTAATCTTCTCCCTAACCTGTGAACCTTCTCTGCCATGTAACATCAGAATCAGGGGCCAGTCAGAGCCGCCTGTGGAAGACTCCTCTGTAGGTAAAGTGAGCATTAGCAAAATGTGTGATTTCAATCCAGTTTTTACAGTCTGACAGAAATAACTGTGTATTGAATGATCTGTAATTGGCAGAACTCAGGGCTTTCTCAATAATAGTAGTCCTGTCTGAAATGACCTCAAGGAATTGTAATACCAAAACCTGGTAATAGACACAGCCTTGTGCCCTGTTTTTATTGTTACCGAGTGTGTCGCCTGTTGCATAATGCTGATGTGTACTCTAGGGCTGTTACTTTTCAGTCCATGCTGTCTGTGGTAATCTGGTGAAATTTCTGAAAAAAAAAAACAACTAAGGCCAGTTCATGTTGATAGCCAAGCTGTATTTCAGTAGGGACATAAAAATTTGCCAGTCACATCCCTTGCAATCTATGTTACACAATCTCTCTTGGTAAATGAAGCTCCAAAAATTGCTTCCGATAGTTAAGCTCTTAGAATGATAAGATGAATGGTGTAATTAATACGGCCTGCCTGTATTCACCTGATTTGCTCATTATTGCTCTTTTTCCCCCCAAAGACAGAGATGTTATGGTTGCCATAATGTCAGACATTTCTAAACAGACAGTGAGAAGCCTGCTTGAAAGAGCAATGTTTGCTTATTCTCAGTTCTGTCTGGCGTTTTTTTTGTGTGTTGCCTTAATTTTGCTGAGGCCTGTCCTGTGTTGAGATGTAAAATCTTGCGTCCTGATTTCTTTCAGTTCCCGATCACCAGGCTGCACTCAGAATCTTCCATGATCCTTTGCTGCAGGGTGTTTTGCAGGGGAACTGACTGAGAGGATCCATTTTTACCCACAATGCTTTGTTTTGTGATGTAAACGATATGTGTTTTTGTCATTTCAACTGAATGTACATAAACTGTTGGTTTGGTTTTTAAATGATTCTTTGTCTGTTTTTCTCATTTAAACTCAGGGAACAACAATGCATGCATGACCAAGAATCTTAATTGTTAATCAATGTGACCACTATAAATACTATTTTAAAATGGTCCATTTCTAGCTTAAGGTAAACCTTTTGCATTTGCATTTAATTTTTTTTGCATTCAGAAGAGAAAATCATGCCCACATGCTCAGGCCCATTAGGAGATGTTTTTTAAAACAATTTATTCCCCCTGTAGATGAATTCTGATCTCAGAGTTTATAATGATACATATGTTATATCAGATGTACCAAAATTGGCAATTACAGCCTCAGCTAAATTTTTTTTAAGTCAGAATGTTTTAATCATTTAATAACATGCTCAGTATAATTAATGCTGAATTCAGCTCTGTCTCACAAAAGCCAAGTAAAAGGCCCAGAAAAAGGCCCCAGAAAGAGGCTAAAACATGAAAGAAGAGGACATCATTCATCATTAAAACGAATTTAGTGACAAATTTAGCTAATATTCAGCATTACTCAAAAACAGCCAGCGCATGACTAACAAACACAGCTTTGAAGTGTTCTACACTCAAAAAATAATTTCCCCACCACAACAAAAATGTGTTTCGATAGAGACAATTCTTAATGTTACACAATGATTTTCAGACATTTTTCTGACTTTCTTTGGACATTTACAATCTAACTGCTCATCATGAGGGACATGGATGCAGTCACATGCTGCTTTCAAATGACCTTGGGTTTATCTGAAGAACGGGTTTGCCACCAGGAAACACCATTTGAACTCCCTTCAAAGTTGGGTACACTGGAATTTTTGATGCAGCATTAATTCTGAGCTAGACGTAACAGTATTTTTTATCATGGTGAGGAATGGATGCAAACATTTAAATAACAGAAAGCAATTGTAAAAACTGTACAAATATAATAAATGGGTAATTATAAAGTACATTTTAAACATCTACAGTTAACCCACATTTGATTTCTGCTTCATATGCACTAAAAAAAAGAACAATAGGCAAAGAAGAGTTTCCAGCTAGATAATAAACTTAGCCATTTCACTACCTCATTGTTCTACTTACCTCTCACAAGAATATGCACACTGGGTGGACCATAGACTGTGTGTGTGGGTGTGTATGTTGTTTATATATATATATATATATATATATATATATATATATATATATATATACTGACAGCAAATCTGCCTACCCTCTTCCCACCCAAATTAAAAACTATGCAAAACTTGTGACATATTTATCATTAAAACAGCGAATTTTGGCAAGGGTTGAATTTGAATGTAATCCTGCTGGTAATCACCCTGTTTGTATTATGTACCTGTAATCTGATTACCAACTTTTTTACTATAATGTAATACAGTTACTTTTTTTGTATCCTGATTACGTAGCGGTGTTACATGTATTCTGTTACTACTCAACCCTGCTGGTAAGCACATTGTTACTGTATTGGTTAGATATCTGTAGTTTTGAGAAACATTTTTGATAAAATATTATACTGCAGCCTCCTGCCACTGGCTGTGCTGCCTTAGGAGATGCAAAGAGGCTCTTGGGAGGCACCGCATTCACAGCATGAGAGACATTTATTGTTGTTTAAATTGTTGATGCTTGTTTAGCATGTGTTTACATGGTGGTTGTGCTATTCTGTGCTAGCTTGTGTCATAGTTAGGTGGATTAAGTGTCTACCATGAAGGAGGAGTTGTATGGTTAGAAGTGACCTCCACCAGTGACAGACAGTGGGGAAGTCAGAGCAAAGAAGACCACAGAGGTTGACCTTGGCCTGAATGCACAGGTCCATAGACCACTGATATCACGTTGTCAATCTGTAGGTGGCATAGTGTCCAAATTAGAAACTCCAGGTCAACTGAATTTCTCTGTGAGAAAAAGTGAATGGGATTTTCAAAAATCACCGCTATCACATCTGTATCAGTTTTGGAATCTTTTTTAGCCCCTTTCCACTGCAGGGCCGCACTGTTCTCAGCACGAATGGTAACTGTTCTACAAACATCGTTTGACACAGAATGCTTGGCATAGAAAATGGCCACGTTTATATATCCTGGCTCAGGCACATTGCCTGGACCGTTGCCAAATTAGGTACAGAAGCAACACCTGTTCCTAACCTATACATAAGAAGCCAGCAATAACTGTCCACCCATTGTCCTGTCAGGTACAGCTTACATAAAACACGCACAGATCACACACATATTGTAACACACAACAGTGAATATAATGTTACACATAAAAGATATAATGCAGCAGATCCTTCAAACATCAAAATAATAAAACATCAAAATAATATAACAAAAATACTTTTACTTTTTTAAAATGTACAGTTGATACTTAAGTACATCCACAAGCAAGTACTTTTGTAAACTGTAGAATTTACAGTAAATTACTGGAACTTTTAGTTGCCAGCATTATAAATTTATAGTATGAGACTAAAATACTGCACAGAACTAAACTGTAAAATATACAGTATGATCATGTACATATACAGTACACTAAAAGCAATTTAATTGTAAAATTACAGTAAGTTTACTATAAGTTTACAATACGTTTACACTACCTTACTGCCAACTAAAATTGTCAGCTCAGGTATAAGTCCACATTACAAGCTTTGCTGCTCAAGTGCAGTTTTTTTCTCTGATCTTTCTGCTTTGATGTTTCACATTTGTGTAAAGGACTCATATCTGTCTCTAGTGTGAACAAACCTGTACCCTGAAATGACCCATGTATGAGCATGCTAATCAATAACATCATGAACGACCAGTGAACAAACTACCAGCACAAGCCTTCATCACAAAGATAATTTGCTCTTAATAGCTCTGACTTTTTGCGATTAGGGGGAAAAGGTGAATAAAAAAAATCATATGCTTCCGCAGCGTTTACTAGCAGAAATCACGGGTTTGGCACTGTGGACGATGACGGTAATATTTGCATGCGCAGTGGGGGAAAAAAACAATATGAAAGTGGCTCTTGTCTGATTTGAAAAAAATCAGATCTATGTCACATTAAGAGAAAAAGCTGAATGTGTGCCAGTTCAACTTGGGAATGTGAACACAGTCCCGGAAGCTCAGTGTGACACTCAAGAAGGAGCGTATTTGGCTGTGTTTAAGTTTCAAGTTTATTTGTCATTTGCACAACATGTCAGGACATTCATGCATTGAAATGTTTGTGGTGAGGCTCAGGTAATCACTCTACAGAAAGTAAACAAGTAAAAATAAAAATACAAGAAAGTACTGAAACTGAAATATATTAAATATACACAAAATATATACAAAATATAGAGACAGGAGGAACCTATGTAAGGAGGAGTAAAAACAATCCTCTCTGCTATGTACAAATATATTTATATTAAACAAGGGATGATCTGTGAAGAATAAATATATTTTAAAGTGACTTAAGTGACTCAGTGTTATTGTTATTTGAAGTGACTTAGTGTTAAAGTGTTATTGTCCATGGCAGTAATATGATATAATAATAGTACTGAGAAAATGACTGATTGAAATGGTAGTTGGGGAAGGACCCACAGCTTCACAGTGTTCAGAAGCCTGACAGCCTGTGGGTAGAAACTGTTCATCTGTGCACACTCACAATGCTGTTTTGTGTTTAAATTATGAATATTTAAGTTCAGTAAACCTGCCTAAGAGTCTTCAGTGTAAAATGCTGTCTATTTAGGTCCCCAACTTGAACCTTGAAATCAAAGCAAGAGGGCAGAGGATAAGAAAAACAAAGTAAAAGAGAAGACCGAGAAAGAGAGGAATGGACAGAGAGGGACAGCGAAGTACAGAGAGTAATAGGGCAAGAGAGGAAAGAATAATGTGTGTGTGTATGTGTGTATGTGTGTGTGTGTCACAGAATTAAAAAGACCCAGATCATGGAAAAACAAATTTGCTTTGCTTTAATGAAATAATTGATTTGATGTAGCTTGTAAACATTATTAAAGTGAAAATATTGTTCACTCCCCACTCCACATAAAACAGCCCATTTTGAATTCACTGTTTTCATCAGGTCACAAAAACCAATGCATTTACAGACAATATGTGTTCAATATGTGTTCAATGTTCATTTTTATTTGGAGACATATTGGGCTTCTATACTCTTTGCCACCCTCCCACTTACACTTGAAAACAACATCACCTCCAGGTCTAAAATGGAAGGGTGTGGCAAAAATAAGCCTCTGCCCATAAAGTAAAACTCTGGATTTAAATAGATCATTACATAATCCTTGTAAATGTCTAAGGTATGACTACTTCATTGTTTTTTAAGAGTTTTTTTACTGTGGGAAGTTTCAACAAATTCGGTAGAATGGTCCATATATGATTTTGTATAAATGTAGAGTGGTGTTAGTATGAAAACCAGAACAGTATTATTTTATTTTTTGTGATATGGATGCACTAGCAGATTGATTATCTAGCCAGAAGCTTGTCAGTACTAATATTGTATCACTAGCCTGTTATTAGGGTCCAAGCACACAGGTGTGTAGGGCCCAATTGTTATTATTATTATTATTATTATTATCATTATTATAAATGTCCACTAAAAGAAATCGTCTAGAACAAACCGTACATTGTATGGACATGAAACTAGGTCCTGCTACTAAGGCACATGACATGAGCCTTATTGGCCTCAAGAGGGCGTTATAGCACAGCCTAACATGCTTAGCCTTGTAACTCTCAAACCATTTTTAGAGACACAATTTTGTTTTAACCTCATTCTTTGACTCAAAACAAACTATTTTTTCATTTGGACTATTTAGCTACGCCTACTTAAATTTTTTGCTGACATGTATAATATGTGAAATCTACTTCCCTGCTGAAAAAAACGGAACAGGCCAGCATGCATTTCATGCTGATATAGGCTGGTCTAAGTTAGTCTGTGCTGGTTAATGCTGGTCTGGTTCTGGTTTAGCTGGTCACACCAGCGTGGTCAAGCTGGTTGACTATCAAAGCAGCATCCAAAACACAACATTTCCTTGTTTTGGTGATGATCAGCATATTAATTTCTATTTCTACTGACCAGCATACCAGCATCCAAAAAACAACATATGCTGGTTTTGCTGGTGACTAGCAATGCTGGTCTATGCTGTTTTTTTTCTAGTAGGGTTTTGTGAACCAGTTCTAATTTTTCACTCAATCCTCATGTAACTGGTATCAAAAAAACTGCAAGACCCTAAATTTCAATAGTTATCAAAAATGTTTTGTAAGCAAATATGACTGCCATATGCTATATTTTTACTTATGACCAGATAACTGAATTTCCTGTCATAAGTGTATTTTGAAAATGCATAATTGTTTTGCAATCGTTTCTTGTTTGAAAACTGCACTTTTTAAACAGTCCTTAAACCAGTCACAATTGGTCTTGAAATACAGTTGCCTCTGTAGGTACAGTGCCTCCAAGTAGTATTCAACCCCCTGCAGATTTTGCAGGTTTACACATTTGGAGTTAACTTAGCATTGTGAAATTTGGACTGTAGATGGGCCTGGAAATGTGAAATGCACTGTAGCAAAAAAGAATGTTATTCCTCTGTTTATAAATTTTTTAAAATTTTGCGAAGTTTACCAGAGGGTCAATTATTATTCAACCCCTCAAACCACCAGAATTCTGTTTGGTTCCCTCAAGTATTAAGAAGTAATTGAGGCATTAAGAACAATGAACTTCACATGCTTGGATTAATTATCTGTTTTTTCCTGCCTTTTCTGACTATAAAAGCCCCTCCCCAATCAAGTGAACAGCACTCATACATGGGCAACATGGGAAAGACTAAGGAGCATTCCAAGGCCATCAGAGACAAAATTGTGGAGGGTCACAAGGCTGGCAAGGGGTACAAAACCCTTTCCAAGGAGTTGGGCCTACCTGTCTCCACTGTTGGGAGCATCATCCAGAAGTTGAAGGCTTATGGAACTACAGCCTTTCAAAGATTCCTCCCGTGCCGAGGTCAGGCTTGTCCGAACAGTCAAGGCTGACCCAAGGACAACAAGGAGGGAGCTCCGGGAAGATCTCATGGCGGTGGGGACATTGGTTTCAATAAATACCATAAGTAATGTACTCCACCACAATGGTCTCCGTTCCAGGTGAGCCTGTAAGGTACCTTTACTTTCAAAGCGTCATGTCAAGGCCTGTCTAAAGTTTGCTCATGATCACTTGGAGGACTCTGAGGCAGACTGGTTCAAGGTTCTCTGGTCTAATGAGACCAAGATTGAGGTCTTTGGTGCCAACCACACCCAGGGCGTTTGGCGAGAGGATGGCACTGCATACGACCCCAAGAATACCATCCCTACAGTCAAGCATGGTGGTGGCAGCATCAAGCTGTGGGGCTGCTTCTCAGCCAAGGGGCCTGGCCATCTGGTCCGCATCAATGGGAAGATATAGCACCGCCTACCTGGAGATTTTGGCCAAAAACCTCCGCTCCTCCATCAAGGATCTTAAGATGGGTCGTCATTTCATCTTCCAACAGGACAACGACCCCAAGCACACGGCCAAGAAAACCAAGGCCTGGTTTAAGAGGGAAAAGATCAAGGTGTTGCAGTGGCCTAGTCAGTCTCCTGACCTTAACCCAATTGAAAACTTGTGGAAGGAGCTCAAGATCAAAGTCCACAAGAGATGCCGAAAGAACCTAGACAACTTGGAGAAGATCTGCATGGAGGAGTGGGCCAAGATTACTCCAGAGACCAGTGCCGGCCTGATCAGGTCTTATAAAAAACGATTAATAGCTGTAATTGCAAACAAGGGTTATTCCACAAAATATTAAACCTAGGGGTTGAATAATAATTGATCCTAATTTTTATGTTTAAAATGTATTATAATTTAATTGAGCAACTTATATTTTTTGTTTGTAATATTTAGGCATCTGTTAATAAATGCTACTCTTGTTCAAAGTTTGAAGGCTCTAACTTATTTGCAACCTGTTGAATTTGCAAAATCTGCAGGGGGTTGAATACTACTTGGAGGCACTGTATATAATTATCAAAAAGCTGGCTTTTTTTACTGAGCATGGTCTGCTATCAATCAATCATTACAGCCCTAGCTTTGCCTTACCATTTTGGTCCAAATTGGCCTTTAGGAGGTGCAATACCAAAAAAAAAATATTAGGATTATATTAAATAGTTTACAGATGAATGTCAGTCTCATGTGAGTCTCACTGAGTTCTGAAGTCCTGAATAACTTTGCACATTACATGTTACATTAGAAATTAGACTCCTTCTCTGGTATTCTGACTTATTTCTTCAAAGGCTGCAGCTTATTATACAAACGTGAAAAGGTCAATCTGAGCAAAACAAGAAAGATCTTTGATCAGTGATCATGACATATGGAGACCATATTCTGACTTTCTTTCACTCATCTCCTTTCTGCCAAAAAGCCCTTTATGGATGAATTAGGCCTCACTATGCCATGCATATCAAATGGTTAATCTGAGAAAGTTAGAAAGAAACTTAGAAAGTTTACAAAAAATAATATCAGAAATATCACTTTTTGTCATATATTTTGACTTATTTGTTAAAAACCTTTTGTATATCATATAAAGCTCAAAAGATCAGTATACATGATACTTCGCATATATCATTTAAAGACTACTGCTCCGCATTCATAGCAAATGAAGGCCTTATAAATATGATAAATCCTTACTCCCTTTGATTTTTTATCTTTTGTCTGTAAATACGGCCCAAACTGCATTAGGCTTTTTGAGCTGTCAGTGCTGGGACCCGCTTGTGGCTACATTTGTTCTTCTTCTCCATCTTCTTCTTCCTCTTCTTTTTCTTATTGTTGTTATTACCAGGGCTGTAACTATGAACAGAAAGTGGCCACAATGCATAAGTTTATAACATCCATATATTTATGCAGTAACCCATTTTTCCTTGATTAACAATTTAAAACATGTGAGTATAAATATATTATTTAGGTTAAATAACTACTTCATAGTTAATGGTTGTTACAAAATAAGATGAAGAGAGACCATGTTTTTAAATTAAGTAAACTGAATCTTTTCAGCATGTGTAAAGTCATGGTAAAGTGGGTAGTATAGCTGAGACAGGGCTACATGTTATAGTATAGTACATATCACTCTTTTCAAGTTGCTACCCAAAGTAGAAAGAAGTTGTCCTTTGATATGTCTTTGTTTTGTGCTGAGCCTCAAGCATATGCATAGGGAATTCTTAACCTCTCTAGCAAAAGTGTGCTAAATGCACAGCAGTTTCTTCTCATTGAAAAGTCACTGAACTGAAAGGATCTGAGCAATGTTATTGCATGATCCTATGCTTTGTTAACTTAAAAACAACTGACATGTTTAAGTGCTTCGTAGCCAACAAACAGCAAACTCATGTATGTAACATCTGTAACATAAACAAATGTGTGGTGTTTTTTTGTACAATTTAACAGGGCTGCCAACATTTTTGTTAGAGTGTGATTCTAGTGGGCTGTCTCGGGAATGGGGACAGGTATAGGGTTAGGGGTATGCTTATTTTTTTTAGTACTTAATTTATTTAATTCTTAATTTTATTTTACTTTATTTGCTTAATTAGTTCATTATTTTTGTCTCCTAGTTACACATTGATCCTACTTGCTCAGTAGTGCTACTGTTCTGCTATTGTAGGTTCTAGAGGCACATTTTGCTGCCAGTGTTACCATGAATGTCATTACATACAAATGTTTAACACAAAAAACTTTTTAATTCACTTTTTGCGTTATTATGTGACAGCTGTGTGGGTCCACAAAATTAGATTTTTTAGGAAGGCAGACATTTTTAATTTCCATTCATTCAAATATTCATTCAAATTAAAACCATTCCTTTTAAGTAAAATATCATATTTACAAATATAGGTTTTGCTTACTCATAAAACAATGTTCTGTCACATTAAGTGACTTGAAGAGGAATGACAACAGGTAAGTTTCAAAGGAGCAAAGACTAAAAGCTTGTAAATTCTGCTTTTGTTCAGTATTGTCAATTTGTTGTTATCTCTCCTGGTCAGCCTGCTCTAATGAGGGCATAATACAGTCTGATTACACAGACAATAGAATATAGACCAGTTAAATATGTATGTTATTGGTAACCAGTGGTCTGATTCCACACCCACACATCAGAGGGGATGGGGTAAAACTAAAAAATATTTTGAGGGAACATTTTGCAATTTGTATGCACGTTTTCATTTATTCACGGTCAAGATTTTGTAATTTGTTCCCACGATTAACAATTCATTCTCTCATTTTCTTTTAATCATGTACGTTTTCTTTTTCATTTTGAGCAGATTTTTTTGTTTGTGCACAAACAAAATATATGTTGATACAGGCCGTTTTATTTGTCCTGTGCACAAATAGGCTAACTTTTTCATGAAACTGTCTGAGAGGGTTTTGATGAGCTTAGACTTATGCCATAATGTACAGCAGTGCACTCACTAGGTATGATTTTGATTTGGGTGCATTATAAGGAGACTGTAGCTTCCCTTCATAGCGGGGCCTCATAATCAGCAAAAGGCACATAGATTCATTGGTGCAGCTGCAGTTGGTCGTAAAAAAAAGTAAGATAATAAACTACCGCTGTGCACTATGTTTAGATCCTGAGACAGAGTGCATTTAGGCCACACCCATGCTGTGGGGGGGAAATAACTCTGCACTTTCTATTGATTTGCATCGCGCTCTTCTCTTTATTGGTCTTAGACTAAAACTGCAAACATGCCAAAAAGCTGTTGCATGATGGCTTGCACGACAAATAAGAAAAATTAGTTTTACAGGTTTTCAAGATGCATTACAGAGCCAAAAAGACGGCATAGTTGGCTTAAAGCTATCAACAGACAGGGACTTTATAGGATCCATGTCTATGTGTGCAGCAGACATTTTGTGTCAGGTAGGTTAAAAGTTATTTAATTTTCTGAGAATTTGTTGCTAAAAAAATTGGTATCCAATTCCCAAGATACATTAGCTAATTAGTTAAGCTGTCTGAATTCTAGCTATTTTAACTTGCTCTGGAGACCCCCTTTACCCCACTCTGCCCTCCTGACCTAAAACACATGTGGACTGGCACATGTGGACTGACTAGCTAATGTGCTCTTCTTCACAAAGTAAACCACCTGCCAGTCCAGAGTGTTTCTAATCAGTGAAAGCCAGAGCACTAAGCAGAAGTAGGAAGCTTTATGAGTGTTCAGGTTCATCAGTAGGTCGTTTTGAAGAGAGACGCAAAAATGCATGAGAAATGTCGAGTGTGGCGTGAGATTAGACCTAAATGCGTGAGTCTAAGCCAATGCATGAGAGTTGGCAGCCCTGTATTAAATGTAATGTTATATTAGGTAAACCTGTCCCATGAAATTTAGCCATGTTAGAAGAAGAGCCATCATAATTAGCTCTTCTAATGTTAGCTTACTACTCTTGATGTATTTCACATATGATGCTTTTAAGACAGCAGATAATCACTTAATGCCTCTTGCTATAGAACGATAGGCCTATGTTGCTATTTGGAGCTGTCAAGACCTTTGAGTTCCACGGGCTATGCTAACTCGAAGCACTTAAGCTTCCCCAAAGGTAAGCTGGAGGAAGGAGAGTGACAGAAAGCTAAGAGCAACATTTAGTGTAAAACTTTTCCAGAAGAGTAGAAGTTGATACTGCAGTAAAAGGGGCAAACCCCCTATCAATATCCGTGATCTTAGAAGAAATGCTGGATATCGGACATATAGTGTACCTGACATTTTGATTGACACTGCCAATCTTGGTCAAGACTGGCACTGCAAGATTTTATAGTGAGACTATAACATTACTTATAAAGCAAAGAGTCATGTACCTTTGGTAGCCTACATCACCAAATAGATAAAGTACCAAAGAATAAGTACACTGGAATGGAGAGAGGAAGAGAAATAAAAATAGCAATGCTTCTCAATCAAGTGAGTTATTTACCCTGTTATTAAGTATGTTTTTGTCTTTAAGTATGGTTTTGATTTGCAAGTTTTTGGGCATGTGTTATTATTAAGACAGTCTGTGTCCATAGTAGTCATCATAAGGTTCGTTAATGTTGGTAGTCTGCGGTCGTGGAATGGAGTAATCCTTATCAGGGTCGATTTCCTGAAAGAAATCAAAAAATTATATGAAAACAACTAATTCTGGCAATGCAGTTCATTGAGTTAATGAGAAATTGATCGGTTGATTTATGTCGATCGGTGTAAGTCAAAATTTGATTGGTTGATTTCAGTTGGCTGGTTGGGGTTATTAAGAATATATGTTGATTTATGTTAACTTAGTGGCATTAGAAAGAATCAGATTGGTGGATTTGAGTTAGTGGGTATGTGTTTGGTTTTTTCAGGTTGATTGATATTAGTGAGAATATGATTGCTTGCCTTTTTTAGTGAATATGTGATTTTTTGATTTGTGTTGATTGACTAATGTAAGTGAGAATATGATGATGGTTGTGGTACTCACCATCATGGAGAAGCTGGACTCATATGGGGACTTCAGTTCAGTCTCCATCTTTTTTCCTTTCCCTTCAGAAACAAAGCATTTCATCAACATATGACTATGAAATTAAACTAACTGAAAATAATACCATTTACACTTTTTAATCAGCATTTATCTAGTGTGTTTCTGTGCAATGAGACTGTATTTTTAACTTATTTGAGCTCTTAAGCTGCAGTTGTTGTCAGCAAGCACTACAGAATGTAAATCCAATGTAAATGTAATACATTACATTTAAAGTAACCATATATAACTAATTAGTACTGTGTTAAATACTGTGAATGTTTGTGTGTTCCTTTCACCTCTTTTATCCTTGGGGTCGTGTTGGTATCCCAGGTTGTCCGTTCCGTTTTTGTGATTGTGGAGGTTTGGCAGTTCGGCCATTGGGCTCGTCCAGCCAGTAAAGTCTGGAGTTTGGTTTTTCATGCCTCTATGACCACAGAAGACAAACCTGACCTGACTGAGTCCATGTCCCAGGAGCAAGACCCAGCCGTTAGCAGTTAGTGCTATGCTAATGACAGGGTCATCCCAGGCTGGGCGTCGGCCCATCTCTTGGTTTCCGCGGGTGAATAGGGTAATCCACACCACCCAGATGGCAGTGCTGAGCAGAAGAGTGATGGTCAGCAGCACCCCATGCAGCCTCCCATGGAACTGTGGCCACTGCGAGGCACTGGAACAGTGTGCAAGGCAGGTAGAGGGGCAGTTTCTGTTTTTAAGTACAATTTTGAGAAATTAGTACTTTTCTCAGTATTTCAAATGCTGGTGCTGGTTATTATTTTATTGAAGTAACTATGAATGGGATTGGTACTGTTTTAATGACATGCCATAGTATAAAACTAGATGATAATATAGTTTCAAAATGTAAGGATTCCAATCACAATGTACAATTCACATCTTTTTAAAAAATGATGGAAACCTACTGCTACAGTTTCTTTATTATGGTCTAAATAGCTATAATCTGAACAGTAAACGGGATGGAAATAATTCCGTATTTGCTTAAATTGTAGTAGATTTTTTTGGTGTTATAAAGGAAGATGAGAGGTTCAATAAAAAGTATCAATGTTATACCTGTGTTGAAATGATTTGTTGTACATTTTAACAAATTTGAAATAATAGAGAAAACTGTGGTAATTCTATCATGACAGACAGGCCCAGACATTTTGAAGTGCAGAGGCTCAAGGGGAAAAGGGGAAATTTTAAATATGAATGTGAATAAAACACTCAATGAGAGTCACAGTCTAATCATATTTCAGGGGAGAGTAAATTTAGTAATTTTAGTCTTTCCTGAAGCAGCCTAAACCGTTGGTATGTTTGCCAGAATTTAACCCACTTATACTGTTTACAACTAAACTATCTACTAGACAGGGGCTCCAGCAGTTTGGTGGCCAAAACTACTGCAATCATTACAGACGAGTTGAATCAGGTGTGTTTGAGCAGAGAAACTAATACATTATAAATAAATACACTATAGAATGTGATTCTTTCTTAAAGAGATGTTATCAGTGCTTCATCAAGAGAATTTCCAATACTGTGGTGATGCATGCATGCATAACAGGTCGCAGTTGAGAGGGCGATCAAGAGCGATAAAACTTGTGGAAGCCAAGCCAACCCACTAGCTCCACTCCTGGGCAAGGCTAAGTTTACTGTGCCTCGTAGAAACAAGTCTTGAATTGTGATGGAGGTTATAAATAATTCACACCTCAATGTACAGTCTCAGGGCAAAAGGACAGGGGCTCAACCCATCAGCGTCTCTCTGTGATGATAGGAATTGTTAATAATTCCATTCCCTCTCTTAAAATAAAACCACTTTCAGTTAAATTTGAGTTCAGGCTCCTTTACTCACCTGTACATGGCTCCGCGGCACAAGAAGTACAGAGACAGCACCGTGGCAATGGCCAACAGGACCAGGACATAGATCAGCAGCATGATGAATTCATCCTGAGAGTAATGGCATGGGTGGCTGTCACGCACCAGCACCACCAGCAGCCACTCCACTGCTATTACAACCTGCACCAGCGCCAAGGCCAGCACCAAACCGGGCTCCCCCCAGCCACTACACATCCTCCAGCCCAACACGACCAGCGTCCGTGCCAGAAGGCATGCGAAGGCCAGGCTGAACAACACCCCGAACAAGAACACACGGATGGGGCACGTCCGCTCCGTCAGGCTTACAATGAAGGAGTATGGTAATGCGAAGATTCCAGCTACAGCTAGCAGGAACAGCACTGTGGACACACATGCTGACCCTTGTGCATTCTTTGAGCCCATCCTCCGCCTGCAGAGGCTACAAACACACACCCACCAGAGCAGCATGCCCAGCAGCAGTGCCAGGCTGATCAGAAAGCCCAGGACGGTCAGTGCCTGCACAACAATGCCCCACGCTGTGCGTAGGTCACATAGCAAGTGGAATTCTGGGTCCAAATTGCCACCACAACCTGAGGGTACCCAGCCTGTAGAGTTAGTGGCAAGACTTCCTGTGTCATTCTGTCCAACAATGCCTTCAGTAAGGATGATGATGGTGATGAGGAAGAAGAGTGTTTTAATCTGTAAATCCATGTAGCTGCAAGGGAGGTTCCTTCTGAATGGGTTTTTCCCTCTTGGGCTTTTTTTCTCATGAACTCAGTCTAGAGTAAGAGAGTACTGAGTTTAGTTCACTTTGTCCAAATCTAGAATATCTCATACTAAATATCTCATATTAATGTTGCTAACAATTAGGACTACATAATATGAAGAGTTTCATTCCTAAATACTGCATTTTGGATATAATATTGGATATCAGGACTTCTTCCTGAGAGTAATAGCATGGCTGGCCGTTGCACACCAGCACCACAAGCAACCATTTCATCACTATTATGACCTGCACCATGCTGACCCTTGTATGATCTTTGACCTCATTTTATATCAACTTTTTACAGATTCGCTGTTTTCTCGCTAACACGTATGAGGGGAAGTAAGTTACAATGTGACTGTACTAGTAACGTTAACTGAGGTCAGACCAGACACTAAGCATGTGTCTGTTTAGCTCAAAGACTAGATTGGCTGTCCTCTCTGTGTAAACCTATGTGTATTTGTAGGGTTTAGATAGTAAGTTACAGTAGAGTAATAATGTCATTAGTTTGCTAACTAACAGGCTAGCGTTTGCTAAAAGATCACCTAGAGTGGAGTATGCCAGTAACTAAGAGAAATATGCCAGTGGCTGAGTGGAATTTCTATTTGTAAACTGAACATAAGCTTTGAGTGATGAAAGAATAGGCGCTTAACTAAAAAAGACTCAAAATAAAAGAGGAGGTAGCATATCCAGAACATTATTCAACTGTTTGGGAGTTTAAATGAATCCACACATAAGGCTAATTTTATCTAGATACTGTTATTTGGTGTCGCTGGGGTTTGTTGGGATATACCTCCTTTAGCTTTGATTCATTTTTTAGCATGACAAATCTGAAAAAACACAATAAAACAGTAATCTCTTGCACTGTGGCTGTTTCTAGCATGTAAACAAAGAATGAACCTGCCAATTTGGCAAAGGATCCCATAATATAACACAATGTGATGTCAATTCTCAAGCCCTATTGCAAAATTTTTGCAAAGGCTCATGTTTGGTTACAATATTCCTACACAAACTTGCACTAATTAGCATGATGTCAATTGGTAACCATTTAGTTCCATTTGTAACATTAGCATTATTAATTCTGCTATTGCTTTAAAATCATAATCAAGAATTCAAAAATTGCACCATGGCTATCCAAAGCCAAGGGTTTACTAACTGACAAAATGCTCAATATCCACAATCTACCTTGGTACAGTTTTACAGTATTAAGTATTAAGAGAAGCTGTTTTTAGATAAAAGTTCAAGCAAGTTGGAACAGGAGAGCAAATGATGCAAGACATATGAAGTACTAGTGTAGAAACGGCTGAAAACAAACAGTGATTGAAATGAGGAAAGAGAAAAGGGAGGGGTCGAAACAGAGATTAGGCAAGTGGAGCTGCTTCCTGTAGTTAAATTACAGGTAGAATGTGGGGGAGAGAGACACTGATTATTTTTCTGATAGCGTGCTGTCACTTCCTGCTGTGGACAAAAGACCTGTGTAGAGTATATATGTCTCTGCGTATGTGTGTGAGATGACATTCATCTCTGATTGTCTATTGCTGTGATTTTAACCAGTGGGTTAAAACAATAGTAGTACAGCAGTACTGTACGTCTAAGTGATAGTTCAGTAAAAAAAAAACAAGTTGTCTGAAACAGAAATTACATCTTTTGCATAGTTACATTGTTAAGATGATGTGAAATTCCCTGTTCTAAAGAAACTTATCAGTCAGAATTGTTCACAGTGGTGATGATAGGAACCAGACATCTGCAGATCTTAATGCCTCTAAACACTTCCTCACAGAAAATAATTACTTGAAATAGTTGTGAATATTTTGCCTGGTGCCTGACAAATTGTGTCAAAAACTACACAAGTAAGTTTATTTTGTGATTACTCCACACAGTTTGAGACATGACTGTCGTGATTTAGGCATGTGGTTTACACAATGCTAATTGGGGGTTATAAACCTTTATTATTTATTAGCTACATTAGACTTGTATCTCCAGTGTAAAACTAAAGAAGCAACCTTCAGACACAAACCATGTCTTGGCTGATTAAAGGAAACAGAGTAGACATGATTTTAGGCTGAACCATCATTTTAATTTGTCAATTTGCAATGTTACTCTTACCTTGTTACTCTTTGGTGATTAAAAAGTTACAATTTGCCATTTAGTACATTTATGGAATGCAACATTTAAATTATCTAGCTTTAAATTTGTATGCTTGAATTACAATGATTTCTATACGCACAGATTGATAATATTCCAATTTCACTGCAGTTTTGTCAGTTGTCAAACAATTCAATAACACCTAATAAGTAAAAGCTGGGAACTAAACTAAAAGATCCAAACACTCAAAATCTTGACAACTTTTGTTCATTTCAAGCCTTTCAATTTAAAATTTTCAGACAATGAGGACAGTCACATTCAATTTTCTAAACTTGACTATTTAGATTTTCAGTCTCTTAGCAGTTTTGGAAAATGTGAATGGATTGACGCACCTGTAATTCAGAATGAACTTTCCATGTTGCCTGGAATCTTCAAATGTCCTGACAAAGAATTTGAAAGTTTCTCCACACTTAAAATGCACTACTGATTTTCTACAGCGGATCTTCAGTTGTATTTCAGTCATATGCGTCTCTAACTCTCTCTTTTTCAGTCTCTGGAAGAGGAAGAGAATGAGGAAAGAGGGAGGGAAGGGCAGAATGAAAGGAGAGAGAAGGGAGGGAGAACAAAAGGAGGGGGGAATTATGGGAGGGGTATTGAAGGGAATGAATGGAGGGAGAATGAAGGGAATGCAAGGAGAGAGAGTGAACTCCCTTCTTTCTGGTGGCATTCATTCTCCCTCTCCTCATTTTCCCTCCATGCAATCTCCATCTCTTCATTCCCTTCTTTCTCCGACCCCTAAATCCTTCCATTCAGCCTTCCTCCCTTCATTCCTCCTCCGTGCTGTCTCCTTCCATTCATTTCCTTTCTCCCTCATTGCCCCTCCTTTATTCTTCTTCCCTTCATTCTCTCTCCATCATTTCATTTGCATCATTCTCCCCCTTTCATTCCTCCCTCCTTTCAGTCTCTGTCCTTTCATTCCCTTCATTCTCCCTCCCTTCATTCCATCTCCATTCTACCTCGCTTCACTCCTCTTCTCCCTCATTCTCCATCCGTTTATACTCCCTCCCCTTGTTCCAGTCTATTCAATCTCCTTCCATTCCCTTACTTTTTCCTCCCCTCTCTCCCTCCTTTTATTCCCCCTTCTTTCATTCCTCCTCCATTTATTCTTTTTCCATTCATTCCCTTCATATTCCCTAATTTCTTTTTCCCTCCATTCCTTCTTCTTCCCTTCAATCCTTTCATTTCCCCTCCATTCATTCCCTTAATTCTCCCTTATTTCACACCCTTCATTCTCCCTCCCTTTGTTCTCTTCCTTCTCCCTCCCTTCATTCCCCTCCTTCTCCCTCTCTTTATTGTTCCTCTTCCTATTCCCTTCACCCCCCTTCATTTTCTCTCTTTCCTACCTTCTCCCTCTCTTAACTCCCTTCATTCTCTTTCACTTCACTCCCTTTATTCTCCCTCACTTTACTCCCTTCATTTTCCCTCACTTCATTCCCTTATACTCTATACTTAATAACAGGCAATCCCTGTGTGTGTGAGTGTGTGTGTAGGTGTGCCTGTGTGTGTGTGAATATAATGGCTGCATTGAACTAAATGTTTCACAGTGAGACACTTGTGAAACAGGTGTTTTGTTGCTAGGTGACTCTGTAATAGAGAGAGAGAGAGAGAGAGAGAGAGAGCATGTTGCTGCTCGCTGTGTGTTTTCACGTTTGTACAAGCCAGCTTTAAGGTGTGTTGTTATAAGTTTGCATTGAAACTTTCCACATGTACAGTCTGGCTGTGTGGAGCGCCATAGTGAATAATCTAGGAGTGTTAAAGTCAGTCAAGATTTTTGTATATGTGGAGCAACTAACGTGGACAAATGTGTATATTTTGCATGACGTAAAGCAAAATAGCTTCTATAAACAACAAATGAACCCCATATGGAAGCCAAACTAGCTTAAATGACTCTTAAATTTGAATGCTGCTAGGAGTAGGAGTTACCTTTACAATTTTTCCCATTTGTTTTTGCACATTTCTTACAATATTACACACAGTACAAACACAAAGCTCACTATCACTAACAGAGACAAACTTACCAAGCAACTCTACACAAACAACTCAAAAGCAAATAATCCAGTCAGAATCAAAACACACCCGGTAAAAATGTCAATATATTTATCACATAAATAAATACAAATACTGTGTTCCCCAACCAAACAATTGTGAAGTAGCCCCCAGAGTGATGGAGTCATTCCTGTCGTGACTTCTGGGTGAGATCTTTACAAGTTCCATGCAAAGTTACAAGAAGACCAACTGGTTCATGTGGGTTCCAGTCTGCATACCTTTCAAAGATGACCAGAAAAAGCTTGAGCTGGACTGAAGAACAGGGAACATGTTGAAAGGATATGACATGGGGTGGTTGCTATAGCCTAGTGCAGGGGTGGCAAACTTAAGCACTACAGGGCCATATTAAAAAATCTCAACAAATCCGTGGGCCAGAAAATTTTATTTCATTTTTAATGAAATAAAAATTGGTGCTATAACCCAAACTGGCCATTGTTTATTCAAAATATGCAAAAACTTCAACATTAAAATACAGACACAGATAAAAGACCTTGAAATATTACATGAATACTAACGATAGATGTTTATATTGGTTTAACTGCAGCTGAAATGCAGCTAGTGTGTTTAGTTATATTTGACGGGTATGCAATTGCAGTGTTTAATTGAGGTGTAACCACTGTCCTGTAGATTGTTGTTGGGGTAGGAGAGTCAGAGCACACATTATGTTGCAGTGCATGCTGGGGACTGTAGTGCAGCACACTGTGAAACAGGCTAGAATAAACAGAAAATTTAAATACTTTTCTGTCTGATTTGGCCTGCGGGCCTTGTTTTTGACACATGGGGCCTAGTGGTAGGAGCTGGCATTTTCATGTGTTAGCATTTCTTCTGAAGTGCAAACCATTTGTATCTTGCTAGAAAAAACAGCATAGACAAGCATGGCTGGTCACCAGCAAAACCAGTGTATTACAGCGTCCTGCTACCGTGGACATGCTGTTCATGTTGGTCTATGCTGTTTTGTTTTACACTAAACTTAGGGACAGTTGTTTCAAAAAGGTACACCAGGCAGCACTGCAAAGTGATAACAGGGATTAGATTCTGCAGCTGAGCTACATTTATCTACCTTCTACTGCATCATGAGCACAACAACCCATCTGCAAAAAATCAAGCCACTCACTTGTCCAGGAATTTGCAGATCTGAGGTGGCAACCCTACTGTCAGTGCAGCTTCAGTTTGCTGTTTGTTGTGTCCCCAAGACAGTACTTAAATATTTACAAAATAACTTACACATTTTTTATTGTTATATTTACTCAAAAAAATACACCAAAGCCTAATTTGGCTCCCGGCCCCACACCAGACCCATATTTGTAAGACATACATACCGGCCCCATATTTGTAAGACATAACCACAATTATTAAACAAATTAAAGAAACCAAAGTGCATTACGATGTGTGTATGCATGTGTGGGTCTTTTTCTTTTTTGGGCCAAAAGTTACCAGCCTATGTGGGATCTGGTCTTTACCACCAGTCATTACTGTGTTGCTTCCAATAACAAGCAAATTATAGACACAGGCCTATTAGATGTCCAGTCTTGGTTCTCAGCCAAACTGAGCAAACCAGACCCCTTTGTCAGGGTAAATCTGGATTACTTTTCCCATTAACCAGGAACAACATGGGGCTGTTGGGTCTATAATCACCAACACATCCCCAATGCAAAAATTTCTTTGTGGCTTTATCCATTTTTGCCTTTCTTGCAGTAGCGGCAAATATTCCTTTATTCCCCTTATCCTGAAGAGGTCTGACAGGTAGTGGACTTGTCTCCATCTTCTTCTAATATATAGGTCCTGTTCTTGAAATATACCTGAGGGAAGAAGTGGCTTTTACTTCATCAACAGAATGTGGTTGGGGTAAGCACCTCCAAATTAGCTGGATCATCAGAGAGTTTGGTAATGGGTGGTCATTGAGAATGGCCTCAACCTCACAAAGGATGGTATGCCCTCAATCATTTCAGTTGAGGACTTAATTATTTCCATGAATGTAAGTTCTCTCTGGACATTCCCAAACTCTTATCTGAAGACCTTTCATTGAAATCTTGATTATGCTGCACAATCAGCAGGTTTTCCATCTTGGCAACAGATATCCTATTGGTGGTGACTACAGGGCAGCCAATCTTGTGCTCTTCACCTTTGCATCCTCTTAAAGAACCATCTACAACCCACCCCACTAGGGTCTTAATGGCATAGGCTCTATTGCCATGACTGTTGATGACCTCCCATGGTTCTAACAAACTAAGGGCATTGCTGCCTATCAGCAACTCCACTTTAGTCTTAAGGCTGGGGATCTTAATGTCTTTCAAATAAGTCAATTTTCTCAGAACATCTTGAGTAAGGATGTTACCTTTATCCACAGACATGCTCTTCTGAGTAAAGATCTCGGGTAACTCCCGAAACGCACTCTTGTTGAGCTGCGCACCTCTAGGCCTTTCAAGACAAAAGTGCTAACAGATTTCTGTTGTCTCATTGTACGAAGAAAAATGCTTGTCCTTATACTGTTTATGTTTAATTTCTTCATAAGATTCTCTGTACAAAAGCTAGCTGAACATCCAAGATCCTGTAACGCATATGTCTTTATGGTTTTATTTCCAGTCTAGGCCTTTAGTTCGATAAGTACAATGGATAGTATGCAGTCTCCTTTCCCAGCACCAATATGAGAACATGTCTGCAGAGAGACAACGGCGCTGCTCGCAGACTTGTCCTGTGTCATTTTAACCTTTGGTGCCATATTAATTATGGTGGCCTTTGGCTACATGTACTGCAGACCAAGGGATTCTTACAGTCTTTGCTCAGGTCTCCAGGCTTTAAACAACCAAAACAAATTGAATTCTTTCTAAGATGATCAATTCTTTCTCTTTGAGACATCTCCGGAAGTTATGAACATATTTCTGTGGAATGACTACCTTTACAAACTATGCAGGATTCCAGAATGCTGCTGGGTGCAACTGAAACCTTCTGCAACTGTTGTGTTTAACACTGGAAACTTCCACAGTGTTAACAGCAGCAATGGCAGCAAGATTTTTGCCCCTTTTAGAAGAATCTATCTGAGCTTTGGACTTCAAAATCATAGCTTTTGGCTGTCTCTGAAGATGGGGGTCAGACAAAGCTTTCATTTGCTGTTCAAAATGACTAACCATGTCTGGAAATGTAGCTCTGCTGCCCTGTCTTCCCTGTAGCACAGATGCTGCAGCAATTTCATCATAATAATCCTCAGGTTAGATGAGACGTCCATCTGCTCCATGTATTGCAAATATCCCATTACATTGCAACAACTTCTTAGAAACAGTATGTAAGCTTGTAAAGTGCCAACATTTTCAGATTTTATTGCAGGCCAGCTCAAGGCCCTCTCCATAGGCTGTGGCGCTTTTCATTTCATTACCAAAATGCTACTTAAACAGACTTTCAGCCCTTTAAAATTCCAAGGAGTCTGGAAGGTGATGACAACTCTTAAACAATTCCCATGGCTGCCCTCTACT